TGTATATATATATATATATGTTGCGCAGTTCTTGTACTTTCTATTCTTTTCTTACTATCTTTCTCTTTTTACTTTCTAACCTACTCAAGAAATAGAATAAGCCAGAGAATAAGAAAAAGAAAAAAGATTGACATTGCCACATATGTGCGTATAGTCTATCTCATCTTGGCCATAACATTTACTTATTTTTGTCTCTTTCCTTTTTCCGAACGATACCTTCCGGAAAGATGATCATCGGAACAGAGTGAGTTGTGTAATTTAATTTAGGTTGTAACTTCTTAATCATTAGGCTTTCCTTTATGAATAAATAGTACGAATGATTATCATGATCAATAACGTCAAAGTTTTTCCAATCGATTTTGTGTCCTGTTTCACTTTCATGCTTTGCTAAAGACGATTTATTTCTCTATAGATAGACTATACGCACACATGTATCAATATCAATCTTTTTTCTTTTTCTTATTCTTTGGCTTATTCTATTTCTTGAATAGGTTAGAAAGTAAAAAGAGAAAGATAGTAAGAAAAGAATAGAAAGTACAAGAACTGCGCAACATATATATATATATACAATTTTTAGACCTTGTATTTTTATATCCTTGACAATGATTTTTTAATAAATCGAAACGTCGGAATTTAAAATAAAATAAAATGATTCACACTGCTGCTGTTGTTATGCTTTTTCTATTGATATGTTTGAAGCAAAACTAAAATTCAAAGGCGTAATAATTCAAATAATTCAAATAATTTAATAATTCAAATTTTCTTATTTACAGATTTGAAAAAGCTCAGAAACTTTGCTTTTACATATAAACTTTTTTCTGACAGTTATGACCAGTTCAGATTATCAAATGTATCAGCTTTTTACTGTGACTGTGTCAGTGTAACAATTCTGCAGTAACCGTAACTGTTGCATAGCTAATCGGTACTGCATTGTATGTACATCGATAAATTAATTTTATAAACAGAAGATGGTGGTTTATACACATATAAAGAGCGAGAGAAATCATTATTAATTTCATAAATTTTTTCAACAATTAGTATACAGGTGTTTCTGATCAAGACTATGTAATCGAAATTTTAAAACGTTAAAAACGATGTTATTAAAAAAAGCTTTCGCCTGAGATGCCACCTACGAAAATTCAAAACGTGTTTCAAATTGCAAAGTAAATTTCATCGAGCTATACATAATCGACTCAAAATAATGTATTGCATGCTCTTGTTAAGGATATCCTCTTTTCTCAACCTCTTCGAAATCGAAGAAGAAGCCGATGTCGGATCGGAGCGAAATTTATATTAGAGATAGAACATCGAGAAAGAAACTGCCCAGAATTTTCTGACATGTTCTTCTACGGGTGGTCCAAAGCTTTGCCATAGATACTTTAGGCCATATCTCAGGTTCTTTTTCTTTCTTTTCAAAAAATAATCTTCGCGAGATATTCCAAAATTTATGGATAAATTCCAAATTCTAAAAATCCCATGCAAAAGACCGGTTTTTTATTTTAAAAGTCTTCTAACACCCAAAGTTGAAATCGGAAACGTTTTAAAAACAACAAACCTGAGATAGGGTCTGAAGTATCTGTGGTAAAAATCTCAGCTCGATCGGACCATTTTTTCGAGGGGTTGTGATGTGACCCGATCGAAGGGACTATCGAAAAAACGTATAGTGAGAAAAACACTTATTGTACATAGGCATGCACCGGTTTCGGTTTTTACCGAATAACCGAAACCAATCATAATGAATAGAAGCGGGTGAAGGAGACGTAGTCTCAACGTTGCTTTTGGAAGAGGTCATATAACTCAGGTTGGATTAACGCAATATCATTATAACAGCAGCAGACTATCATTCTTTTCTAACCTTCTACTATCTGTTTGTTGTCTGATATATTTTTGGTTTTGTTAAACGAAAACGTAGTACTTTATTTCTGACATCACTATATTGTTAGACGTTTCTGTTACCAGCTGATCAAAATATACTTCATTTTGTTCATCTTTTGTTCTATTCTACTTCTACTCTTTTATTTTCCTTTCTTTTCTATGTTTTCTTACGCATATATCTAAACCGACTGAATTCCTTGTTGAAATATTTAATTTTCCTTCTTCACTAGGCTGAAAAAAATACCAAGAAAATAATATTTAGTTTTTACAAAGCCGTCCTTGTCAAGCAAGACCGTCTTGATCAGTTTCTATTATGTTCGGTTTCGGTTATGATCGGTTTCGGTTAATCGAAATCGGTGCATGCCTAATTGTACACAGGGTTCTGTTTTTCAGTGCATTTCTGGTAATGCTTATATCTCCACGAAAACTCATTCGAAGACTCTGGGAGACGTCTCATTCTGACGAGCACACTTTCTTCTATCGTACTATCTATAAGAAAAAATTCCTGTTAGCTTATTCCAGGTTACTGTCATAACTGTACCTATGGGCTATTAATATCACTATATGCAGGTTTTTGTATGATATTCAATGGTGCTCTTTTGTAAAAAACAGCTTTTATATTTGAACAGAGTTGCGAATTATTTGCGAAATGAAATCATTTTGACTAATTTTGCTCTTCTATTCCAATAACTACTAAAAATATTGACTTCTTGAAATTTAATGCCATTTTCTTTGAATCGAGAATGTATGCTTACGTATGAGAAATGTATTTTAATCAATTAATGTAAATATTAAACAAACTATAAAACAATTTTATGTAAATATATAACAATTTTTTTGTAGCATTCAAAAAGATTTTTACCACTTATAATAATAATATTCGCTATCAGCATTATCGACTGCATATATTCTATGAAATTTACTTTGATATTTAAAAAGAAAAAATTATAATTTTTCTTCCGGCGGGTTTATGTACTTATGTGCACTGATTAGATGTACTCGCTTTTCAATGATTATTGAGTATAAACACATTGTAAAGCAAAAACTTAGTAAAAGTGATATCATCCTATCTTTATTAAGATATTCCGATTTTTCAAACAATATTATTGTTTCACGAAGATCATCTTCCGAAATACTAGCCGAAATTATGTATACAGCGTTAACGGTAATTTACTGGTTTACCGTTACCCCTTTATCGCATTTTACCGGTTCCTGTTGCGTACCTAGCCGAAACAATAAATAACGTAAAGAAGCGGCTTTTCTTCGCATATGCACTTCTGATGAAGTGTAAAGTAAATCAGTTGACGTTACTTCTAGAATAAGTACTACAATCACAATCGTCTTAGCATCTTATCTGTTCGTATCGCTTTGCATTATCTGACAACTAATGCCATTAGAGTGTGTCCATATACTAATAATTTCATATCCACAGACAGAAAAGCATTTGCTCTTTCCTATTAGTTGCAGAACGATGTGTCTGAAGTGAGAATAAAACCTTGCAAACCACCTGCAGTTTGTGCGGAATTCTGTAACAAAATCCAAGAATAATGTGTGTTGCACACCTGTAACTCACATTTTTGATAGAAAAACCTAATTGGCAGGTAGAATTCATCAAGCACTATCGAATGGACTAATTCTTTTTTATATTTTGCTTTAATTTTCTTTCGAATTTTTTCAACATGTACCGTTACGGAGTTCCATTGGGGCACTCACACGAAAGAATTTTTGATTTTTCAGTTGTCTGATGCACTATTTAACCTAAGAATTTTATATATTTTGAACCAGCGTTAAATTCTACACAAGGTGGCTCACTTAGTTTTCCGAATTGTCGATTTTCATTTTTCTCGGAAGTTTTCTCCACATTTTTCACCGCAGATATCTATGAAAGATATGCTGTTCGATGCAGAATTTTACGCCGATTACGAATAGCAAGTTGATTTTTACTGAACCTCGTTGAAAAAACCGCATTTTTACGAAGCAAACCATTTGCATTGGCAAAACAGGAAAAGGGACAAAATTCCGTAACGGCGTACGTTTTTCGATTCCATTTTTTTCTTCTTCCGCAACGATATCTAGTTTGCTTATAACTTCCGTTGGGCGCAACCAATCGACTGAAAACTTTTTGATATTAGGACGCACGATTCTTTATTAGCGGTAAAAATTTCAAGGCTCCGGCTTTAGCCGTTTTTAAGCTGCAGCTCTTAGAACCCAAAAAGATGGAATCCCGTATTGCTCTGCCGTGCCGTATTTCTATTTATGGTCTCAGTGGAACGAATTGATGTGCAAGATTTTATTTTTATTTTGTAGAGATAAATGAAGTTTAAAGTCAGTTCTCGATAAAAAGCAAAACAGTAGTTAAAAGTTACTAATGAAATTATTTTAATTATGGTGAAAAAATTGGGGTCCATTTCCATGCATCTCCATTTTTCATAAATAAAAGATGTACTATATTAGAAAATAGTGTTATGCGCTTTATCGATATTCATTTCAAATATAATGTGAACTACCTTTATAAGATTTCTTGAGTTTTAAATTCATTTTATCATCATAAACGAAATTCAGCGCCAACAAAGCACTTGTTCATCACAGGAAAGAAGATTTACATGCTTTTCTGCGTTTACAAATTTATCCATGAAGGTAATTTGGGATGTTCTACTATCTGTACAAATTAGAAACTAATTTCTAGAGAAAAACCTGACTCTCGGGAATGGGATCTCGAAAGTCCTATGGACGCTTTCAATTGTCATATTCGGAATCAGCACCATCGACTGGATATAGGCTTTATTCTTTCAAATATAGGCGGAAAAAAAATTCCATTATACTACTCTAAACAAAAGTTATCGAAAAAGACAGCAATATGATTCTCAAACAAAAGGCGAGCTCCCACTTTAAAATCTCCTCCGGCTACTTATATTATCTACTCTCTTCTATATTACATTAAAAACTCTCTTCCATGGGAAACTACTGTTTCTTGGTCATTAGCAGCACCATGCTACCAATGTTTGCAGAAACTACAATATGACTTACTGGAACCCAGTTGTATTTTTAAAGAAGTTTTGAAACTTATATAAAGCAAAAATTTTACTCATAATAAACGAACAATGGAAGTAAATGTTACTCGTTATTTATTTGTCTTGCTTTTCGATCGTTTTTTTATGCTTTTCAACTTCTTTCTCATCCCGTTTTGGATATCTGGTTGGGAGCGATTCCAGTATTTCAACCATAATTCTGGCGATGATCAACTGCTGATTCAATCGGTCGTCGCTTGGAATAATATACCATGGATTACGACTTGTGGCTGTGTTGCTGATTGCGTCATCATAAGCCTGTATGTACTTGTCCCAGTAATCCCGCTCTTTCAGGTCATTTTCGCTGAGTTTCCACTGCTTCTTTGGATCTTTGAGGCGATTGATGAGTCGCTGGCCTTGTTCTTCTTTCGCAACGTGTAAATAAATTTTCACTACTGGAAATCCGTTGCGATATAAATAATCTTCAATATTTACAAGATCTGAATACCGCGTTTTCCAGAGTGTGTCAAGATTCTGAGTGTGTTCTTCAGGTATGGAACTTTCTTCCAGCTGCTCGGGATGAACTTTCAGTGGCAAGACTTCTTCGTAGTAGCTTCGATTAAAAATGCCGATATATCCCCGTTCGGGCATATCTTTCCAGAATCGCCACATAAAGTCATGGGATTGTTCCTCATCGTGCGGTTTTTTGAACTCGGCCACCCGGAATCGCGTTGGATTGACGCCCTTGAAAACATGTCGAATACCACTGTCTTTTCCAGCTGCATCCATTGCCTGAAAGAGAACTATCAGCCCATAACGTTCGTGAGCGTGCATCCGGTTCTGAAGCTCGTCTATCTGAGCTGTGAAATCGTCAAGCTGGCGTTCTTGATCGGCTTCGTCGATGTAGAATTGTTTGATTTTGGTAGGTATTTCGCGGAGGTTCAGTTTTACATTGCCGTCTGCGTAACGAAAAGAAGAACTATTTAACGTTGCCTTGCTCATGTCCATTGTGCGAATTTCTTGAGCGTTGAGTTGCCTTGTACTTTTTGTTGCTGTTGAGACACCGGCGAATAACTAAATTAAAATCTGCTGTAGTTTAAGCAAACTCCTGGCTAGTCTCTCGAGGAATCGTTTGACACCAACACCGAAGATAAGCAAACCGACCCGTACTGACCGAGTTAAAAATTTTACTAGAGGTACTCAAGGACATGGCGCAGAGGTATAATTTGGAAATTTTATTTTAGACCTTTCTTTACCGAGTTATCGGGAAAATATCGAAGCATTTCAAAAACGCAGTTTTTAAATTTTCGAAACCCTATTACTCGGTAAAGAAAGGGCTAAATTAAAATTCCAACACTATACCTCTGCGCTATGACTTTCAGTACCTCTGATAAAATTTTTAACCCGTTCAGATGAAATTTAAGTGGAGTCGTAATGTGGTCCGATGAAAAATTGAATTTTCCGGAAAACTTGGGAAAGACATTAGTTAAGAACTTGAAACAAAAACGACAAGTGCTTCGTTGAGTTTCCAATCAGTTCTGAAAATAAGAAGCCTTAGTGAGTTTTAGTTTTATTTCACAGCATTTCTACGGAAAGCCCAAAATGAGAGGAGAGGTACCCTTAACAGCCGAAAGAAATTCTTATGTCGAACAGTACGATGAAAAAAATGAATATTGTAAAACAAAAATTGAATTATCCAAAAGGTGGACATATCTTGTCAATCGATCACTCAGTCATTTATGCCCCTATGCGATAAGATCGTTTTTACCTCAGACCTTCAGCCCGACACCGAAGGTCTTCTGAGTCACGCCAGAGCTAGGCAAAATACTCGAAGTACTCGTACTCGTACTCGAAGGACTGATACTCGTACGCGTACTTGTACTCGAGGTGGCCAGTACTCGATAATCTGATATTTGAAATTCCAGATGAAGTGTGTTATTTATGCGAAGAAAGTCGTGAAGATTTACTTTTTTCTAAAAAGCACATCTATCCAGGATTATATCAACTTCCTCTAAAATATCTAACGGTGTCTGCGACATCGGTTTCTACCGAACGCGTTTTCTCACAAAATGGTTTTCTGATGAGACCACATCGAGCATCATTAACGGCAAAGACTGTGTGTCTACTAACTTTTCTAAAATGTAACAAAGTTTTACTTTGATCCCATTTATTTGAAGGTTGATAATACAATAAACTAAAAAAATGTTTTAACATTTCGCTTTGTCAATATTTTGTTCTGACCTATATATCAAATAATAAGAGACTAATTAAGAGAATAACTAAAGAGCTTTTTTTCCTACAAATTATTTTAGATATTCATAGTCATACCTGCTTCAATGGTATCTGTATTTAAAAAATTGGTGCTTGTACTTGTACTCATCTCATACTCGAAGGCTCGGTACTCGTACTCGACTCGTACTGGAAGTATTGGTACTCGTACTCGACTCGTACTTGAGAAATTCCGTACTTGCCCAGCTCTGCTTCTGAAGATCTCACGAGTTTATATTTTTTGATGCCGTTTTCGAGTGTATAGCTTAAGTATAAAACGAGATGCACTTTTTCGTAGACATTCAAGTGTGGATTATCCGACGTCGGTCGCAAAAGTTTGGAGTCTTATAAAGATCTCTGGAATACCTTTGGATGTTTCTAGAAACTCCTTATAAGACTCCAAACTTTTTAGACGGGGTTCAGATACTCCACACTTGAATGTCTATGAAAAAGTGCATCTTGTTTTATACTTAAGCCATACGCTCGAGAACGGCGTCAAATAATATAAATCTCTAAGCTCCTCAGAAGACCTTCGGTGGCGAGCTGAATGTCCGAGGTAAAAAGTATGTGATCGCATTATCGGATAGACCGTGTAATGGACTACATAGGATGAAAAAATTCCCCTTCCATCACTTGCCTTGGCGGAGAAACAGAATTTTTACTTTTTCCTCTCCATTTTTTAGACGGTAAATTTTCCATCAAGTGGACTCTAGAAAACAGTTCAAAACTCAGAAAATAAAAGTCCTAGAAGGCTCAAAATTTGGATTTATAGGTTTTCACACATGCTGAAAAAGATGGGAAGCAAATCTGAGACATCGATTGCGCATGGTCTTATGGTAATCTGTCGTTTTTCTCATGCAATAGCTCCTATGCGGCAGACCAAGAAATCTAATGGCTGTACAAAAAGTGTGAAAATGGTTTACTTTACTCCTAAGTCGCCAAGTAATATTAGTTTTGATCTCAAATTCTCTAGAGACAAATAATCTCTGAAACTAAAAGTGTAGTTTATCCAGTGACTGTTTCTTATGAGCCATTGCACGTAAGCCACGACCTATTACAGCGGAGTGGCCTTCAATCGATGTTCTCGAAACTTTTCCAAAGTAGGAGGCTTTTGTAGACCAAACATTTTAAGGAATTTTGGTGAAAGGCGCAAATCAAAAAGTTGTATCGTTGCTGAGATATTGATATTTTACGAAAAGCCCTGAAAAACGTAGATTCCGCCATCTTGAAAATTTGCCAAATTTAAACTCTTCTAACGCAGTAACAACAG